GGGGCACAGAACTCCCAACAGGCTTGATCAAAAGCGATCTTCACCAAGACATATGATTATCAAACTCTCTTCAATTGAACATAAGGAAAAGATCCTTAAATGTGTACATGAAAAAAATCAATTGACATATAAAGGAATGCCAATTAAGCTCACAGGAGATCTCTCACAGGAAACTCTACAGGCAAGAAGAGAATGGAGTGACATATTCCAGATTCTAAAAGAAAAAAATTGTCAGCCTAGGATAACATATCCAGCAAAGCTTTCTTTCATCTTTGAAAATGAAATAAAAGAATTTGCCTCTTCCAAACCTGCCCTACAAATGATACTTCAAGATGTTCTCTTGACAGAGAAGAGGAACAGCATCTACCAAAACCAAAGGCAAATGAGAAGAACATCCCAGTAAAATGACAACAGAAGACTAAACCAATGAACAACCCATTCCTAAAATGACAGGACCAAAGTTCCACCCATACATATTAATCCTGAATGTAAATGACTTAAGCTCAATCAAACATTATAGAGTAGTAGACTGGATTAAAAAACAAAATCCATCTGTTAATTGTCTGGAGGAGACACACTTCAACAAAGATCAGCGGAAACTATCGCATGGGTTTTGTTGTTTTCTGTTGGTTTCATCTCTTCAAAACACTTCTGATTAAATCGTTCAATGACTTGTAGATCATGCAGTGGCATCATTTTCTTCAAGAAGGTTCTTGATTTTCATTTCTTCAGCTACACGTTAGTCATTAACTAGCATGTTATTTATCTTCTTGGTGTTATTAATTTCTTTTTTCTCCCTGATGTTGATTTTGTTTTGTGGTTTTTCATTTAAAGGGATGTATAGTAGCTGTGTAGTGGAGACTGTCATATCTAGTAACATGTCATTTAACTTCATGGCATTGTAAATTTCTATTTTTCTTTCTATTGTTGATTTTGTATTATGACTTTTCATTTGAGGGGATGTACAGTAGCTGTGAAACGGAGACTAACATCCAGATGTGAGGATACAATGTAGTATGCATTTCTACTTCCAAAGATGGACTTACAATGAAACTGTTCACTATATCTTGACAATAGGATGCTGGACTCTTTGCCATTGTCCATGTCCGCAATGATGGACTTATGACTGTGTATGAAAAACTGTATTTTAGTAATGATATAGAGGAATTAGGTGGGGGGAGAGGGAATTGGGAAGGGGATAAGGGAAATGCCAGCAGCCTATGGAATTGTATCATAAAATGATAATAATAAAAAGTTAAAAAAAAAACAAAACATCAAATGTGTTGCCAGCATCCCATACAGAAGATGCCAGGTTATGTTCAATCCAACTCCATTTCCAATCCAGCTCCCTGATAATAGACAGCAAAGATGCCTGAGTACTTGGGTCCTGGCCATCTGGACTATATGAACCAACAGATGGAAGGTGTCACTGTTTATCTCTCCCTTTCTCTGTAAACCTAATATTCAAATAGATCCTTTTTTAAAAAATTCATGATCCAGTAAAGATTTGTGCAATTTACTATATGAAAGTTATAACAAATAAAATAGTTATTAAAAGACATTTGCTGCAGACTCCTCTGTCTTAGGACATGATACCCAAGGCCATTGTCTTAGTGTTCTTTTGCACACATATTTGTCATAGAACTTTCGTGACAGGAGTGATTATTGCTTCTTAACTGCTAATGAGATTTTTAATCCCTCATTCAGTGTACAATTACAGAGTACGAATGTTCATGGATCTTGAGAGATGTTTTTCTTCCATTAAAATAAAGAGTGGATGATTCTCTCAAAAAACATTTGGCTAAAATTACCCAGGAAACTGGTAATAAAAACACAAGAGAGAGGAAGCAATAAAAGCAGGAATCAAAGTTGCAAACGGCAATGTCTTGGCTCAATAATCTCTGACTCCAGGTGCAAGAGGGGTTTGACAAACTTGAAATGAGGCACTTTCCCCATCTGTGCCCGTGAAGGGAATAAGAACCCAACAGTCAACCAACACACAGCACTTCCAATCTCCTTCAGCTAAATGAAAAACAATCCATCTTAGCCACCTAAAGCCAACCCAGTGAAGAAAATTATCCTTTCTCGAAAGAAAACTCGACCTGCTTTGCTGTTTTCCAATATGGCTTCAGCATCCTAAGTCTTCACTTAAAACAGACACCATAAAACTCCAGAACCTTGGCTAAGACTCCAATTTAGAAAACAGGAGAAAGGAAACAGTGGGGGATGCAAGTCCCAGCACTGTGTGAGAGCTGAGCCTGAGTTGTCATCTCCCACTTGCCTCACCAGCAGCTTAACTGCTCTCTCTTCTTCTAAGCTCACCTCTCTCTCTCCAGAAGCTACAAAATGGGACAAACTTCCGCAAGTATAGAGGTCTTCAGAAAGTTCTCGGAAAACGTGTATGAGGAAAAAATGTATATTGTAGTCCAAAAGTCTCTGCACTGAAATAAACTTACTTTTCTTTTTTTCACAACCATTCGAAATCATATTCATGTCTGTGTAGGAAATCAGCAAGTAGTATCCCTCCCCTTTAAACTGAAATGGGAAACTTCTTATGTGATGTTCCAAGGCCCTCCCACTGCACTCTCATTCCCCAACTCCTGGTTCTATGTCGCCATCACACTAAGTTATCTGCAGACCCTAAAGTGTCAGTCACGCCACCTGCCTTCCTCTCCACACAGAGGTGCTAGGCTCCCTAAGACACCATCAGTGTCCTAGAAGGGCCACCCTCCGACTTCCCCAGTTAGTTTGTGATCCCAGGACAATCCTCTCATCCGAATCCAAGGCTCTGCTCTCCCAAAGAACAGACATGCAGGTAAATAGGAAAGCAAGAACAGGGGCAGGTGCTGCGGCACAGTGGTTAAGCTGCTCCTTGTGAGAGCCGCAGTCTGCAGGGGGAGTGCCGGAACTCCAGCCTCGCCTCCTGTTTCCAGTCCAAATTCCTGAACACGCACAGCCCAGCTCACTCCAGGCCATGCTTGTAGACCTGGAGCTCCTGGCTTTGACCTGACCTGGCACTGGCTGTTACAGCCATGTGGGGAATTTCAAATCTTGCAGAATCTTAAACCTCGGTTTTTCGTTCTTTCAAAGAAATAAATCTTTTTAAATATATATATATATGTAAAGGAAAAAAACCATGAGGATAATTTCAACTTAGTAAAAGAAAAATACTGAACTACTTTGAAGAACTATGTGGAACCTGCTGAAGGATGGCGATAGTTGTATAATATGAAAATCCCCAGTATATCTGTGTGTGTGTCCCTGTGGCCTCCCTTCTTATTGCTACTATAGAAACACACAAAGGGATGGACACAGCATGGCTCTACTTGAGGCCAGAGCAGCAGCCATGGGTAAGCCAGATGAATACGCAGCAATAAAGAACAGGGTGGACTTTCTATCTCTTCTCTCCTCCCCCCCGATGAGGAATTCCCCTGGGAGGAAAAGGGAAGCCAGCCAGGCAAGGACAGAGTCCTAAGGCCAGGTGTAACAGGACCGAGGGACACTAGTCAGCTGAGCTGCTTCCTAGCAAGGCACAAGTCACCCAGCACTGAGATATTCAGCAAACATGAGACAATTCAATTTTTAAAAAAGATTTGTTTATTTTTATTGGGGAGTCAGAGAGAAGGAAACCAGAAACATCTTCCATCCACTGGCTCATCTCTAAGTGGCCATATCAGCCAGGGCTGAGCCGATCCGAAGCCAGGAGAAGCATCTTCCTGATCTCACACTGGTACAGGGTCCCAAGGCTTTGAGCCATCCTCCACTGCTTTCCCAGGCTACAAGCAGGGAGCTAGATGGAAGGTGGAGCAGGTGGGACACAGGCCAGCACCTACATGGAATTCTGGCGCATGCAATGTAAGGATTTTAGCCAAGAGGCCACCAAGCTGGGACCAAGATGACTCAATCTTTATGACCATTTAAATAATAATAATAACTACTCTTCATCCCTTCCGTTACACCTCAGCTGCCTGTTCCAGGCTCTAGTTCTCACCCTATTTTATATCCAAGGTTCAAGTCAACTCAGATTGACTTCCCCCCAATTTGCTCGTAACAATGTCAGAGTTCTCCACATGTTTTTGTTTTTTCACCACCTACTTTTGTCATCTTATTACATTTGAAGTATTTTTTTAATAAAATATCTTTAAAGTCTTTCTGAAGAAAAGGCAGAATACAAATTAATAACATAGGTTCAGGCTCCCAGTGCTGAGGAACAAAAGCACGATGAGTTTGGATTTTGAGAGGTCGGGGGACAGATTTTGGGAATACTTATATTCACATAATCAGATAATTTGGAAATAAAGTCAAGTCATAACCTAAAATTCATTTGTTTCATACATACACACCTTACACACATAGCCTGGAGTTGGTTTTATATAATGCTTAAATTTGCCTGTCTGAAAAAGAATATGTATACATCTGTGTTTTGACTGTGAGCCTTCATGTCAGGTCAGGTGTAGAATTTTCTACTTGTGGCATGTCAACATTCAGTTTCAGAACTGTTTGCATTGAGATGTTCAGTAAGAATTTAAAACATGGCCTCCGGGCCTGGTGTAGAGCAGGCTAACCCTCTGTACCAGCAACCCTCATGAGCACCAGTTTGAGCCCCAGCTTCTCCACCTCTAATCCAGTTTCCTGCTAATGACCTGGGAAAGCAGCAGAGGATGGCTCAAGTGCCTGGGCCCCTGCACTCCCTTGGGAGACTGGGAAGAAGCTCTTGGGCTTTGAACCAGCCCAGCTCAGCGCTTTCACTCATTCAGGGAATGAACCAAAAAGAAAGATATCTCTCTCTCTCTCTCTCTCTCTCTCTTTCTCTCTCTCTGCAATTTTGCCTTTCAAATAAATAAATCTTAAAAGAAAAAAAAATGGCCTCCACTTTAAAGTGTAGTCACTACTTCAGAAATTTCTCACTTCCTGTTACAAGCATACAGAATGAACTAACAGCAAATTGCTCATCACAGATCACATTAAACATACTGCAAAATAGAAAATGTGTACTTTACTTGATTATTTCCTTGCACACTCCCAGCTGCTCGAGACTTTAAGGTCTGGATTTTCTCAAAAACCAAGTTGACTTTCCTTTTCGTGGCATCATCATTATCAGTGCTTCTGCAAAAGTGACAATAGGGAAAATAAGGAACACAAAACTGTTCTTTGATTTGCCATTTCACACAGACAGCCTTCAAGAAGACAAACTGCAAGAAGCAGGAATCACGGCAGCAGATAAAACCAGTGTGAGACGAGCAAACGCTGTAGCTCTCTTTGAATAAAAAAATGTTACCCTTAAACAGAAAAAAGGAAAGGAAAAAAACGTCACTCTTCACAGTGCAACAGGGGCTCTTATTTCCAAATATATGAGACCTAACAACATTCAAAATTAGCTTGGAAAAAATGTCCAGTGAAGGCTATTTGTTGTTCAATTCACATGGCACATATTCATTGCTAAAGGAATTTTCATTTACTTTGTGTGTCATTCACTGCTCATATGGACACAATATTTTTAAATTTCATATTGAGGACCATCTCTGGTGAGCATAAATTAGTAGGCTTATGCTTTTAAAAAACAAATTAAAGCCCTGTGCCAAGGTTGCCCACACAGTAACCCTCTGTCTAGACGCTCACAGGTAAAGATCAGATAGTTTTATTTACATCTCTCACACACGTGGCAATTAAGGTTTTTTTTTAAATTTCCTTTTAAGTAGGCGCCTCCCACCAATTAAGTGATATGCCAAAACAAAGTAAAAAGCATTTAAAGAATTTTAAATCAAAAGTTCTTCTTCCTTTATCGGAATAGTATAAACCCCTTCACAAAGAAATTGTAATAACTAGTTCTTGGCCAAAAGAAACTCTCCAGTTACCCTTCCCCCTGCCAAAAAGAGCCCCTAATCTTATATTTTGAAACGATTTTATCAGCTGTGCAATCCTGACAAATAATTGCAAAGCACAATCCAGAAAATATCAAGTGCTATGATACCAATGAGCATTTGCCAAGTGGCTGGCTCTCAGCTATGTCAAGCTATCGCGCTTTGGTGCCCTCTCTTAATAATATCTGATGAGAGAACTGAAACAGGAACCCCAAATGCTTTGCCTCGGATTCCGGCATGGTTAGTGTCTAAGTAAGGACTGAAAGATTACTGGAACTCAGTCTCCAAGATAAGTTCTGAAAAGTTCTGCTTCTAAGTGAGTCAAAGGTGTTTAAAACAAAACACGACACAGAAGCAGAGGCCCCTGGCCTGTGCACGCCTGCTCGTACAGTGGATTTTCTTCCTAACTTCTAAGGGACAATTGAAGTCCCCTGTGCAAACAACAGCAGCAGTTCAAGACAGTCTTCCTGTCTTTGAATTTGTTTGTGAAACAGAAAAGCGTCATTTCAAACATGCAATTTTTAACATTTAAAGGCTGAATATGTGTGCCTTAAGCAAAAAAAAAAAAAAAAAAAGAAAAAGAAAGAAAGAAAGAAAATCACTAACCCTTCCTTAAGGTAATTGTAGAGTATCTGCTTGGCTGTCTCCTCGTTGGTTTGTTGGGTGAGCTCTTGCTGGCCCTTTAAGAGATCTGGTGTGGCCTGGAATACAAGGACTGTTATTAGAGGGTGACATCTCCAGGAAGAAAACATTTGGAGGCAGAGGCTTCCAAATGCATTCCTGCTTTCCAAAATCATTTTCCCATTCTCATTACAGTCTGCTCCAACACTGACCAGCCCAGTAACCTCGGCAAGTTTCAAAATTCCCCTTCCCCTCTTTTTTCTCACCTGTCCGTGGAGGTTTGTGGCCTACACCTCCGTAGGGCTAATGTAGGGTTGCAATATCAGACACACGGCACCTGCCACTTACCAATCTTCATATGGTTTTTATCAGTGTCATTACTGTTAATGGTTCCCACAAAACTCTAAATGTGCCACTTAGCCTCCAACCCTTCACAATTAAATTAGAATTAACCTAATTTCTCAGGCTAGAAATTAACCCAGTCACCCAGCTTCCCAAATTAATGTATCCTCCCAAAACCACTGACTCTACGTGAACACAAATTCCACCTACTTTTCAGACCTCATACCTACACAGGAACATGGAATTTCTCGGAGGTATTTGTCAAGTCTCTCTAACAAAGCTCAAGATGGAAGGAAATCTACTAGTTCTGGAAATAACAGAAACCAACACAATCTGCAGACCATAATCTGATCCTAAGAAAAAAACCAGGTGTGCCATCATCAATGCTCACTGGATACAGGATTTCCTACAACCCCTAGACCATGCATGACCAGATTAATGTTTGGATCATTTGGAAATGGGGAGGAAAAACAAACAAACAAAAAAAAAATCGTGATCATGGAGGCATTACCTGAGTATTTGAGGTGGAAGGAAAGGTTTTCACGGAAATTTTTTTGGCACCAGAATCCGGCGAGGCTGCTATCGCCCGACCCTGTAGCATCAGCGTGGCAGTGGTCTTTTTCACTTCCTCCTCCTTTTTGCTCTGAGCTGGGGGAGAAGACGCAGCACTTTCCCAACGACCTTTGCTTTCCAGAACTTTCCCATCTTTGTTTGGCTGCAGAGGCCTGGGATGGGCACCCTGTAGCTTGGCAAAGGTGCGGCCCGCGCTAGGCTTCCCGCGGTGCTCCTGAGATTGCGACCGCTGCGGGCACAGCTGTGACGGCCGCAGCAGGTGCTCGCTGGACTTGCCCAAGTTCCGACTAAATTCCGTCAGGTACTCCACGTTCCCTTGGAGTCCGAAAGGAAAGGCACTGTCCACACTCCGGGATCGCTTTCTGTCGTCTGGATTGATCCTGTTTCGTTTCCCAGGCCGCCCTCTTCTCTGAAGACCCGATTTTTGATCAAATTTCTCAATCAGCTGATCCACGCCGGGAATGGATCCTGTGTCGATATCCCGCCCAGTTCCTGGCAAGAAAGGGATGTACCTTCTGTTTTCATGACGATTGACACTGTCAGCGTGGATGGCACATTCCTGGTCATCAAGGAGAAATCTGTACAAAGAATTGGCCGAAGTGGGAGTTGTCGATGATGAAGATGATCTCCGGGACCGGGCTCCATCCAAGACGGGTCCAGCCGAGTCCTGTCGGCGGAAGGGAAGAACGTCTGGCCGGGTCTTCTTGGTTTCAGCGTGGGCCTGGGGGCTGTGTGCAGATAAGGGTCTCCCGCTAGGGGAGAGGGCTTCCGCCACCACACCCTCCTTGCTGCAACTCTGAACATTGACACACACGGAGGTCTGCTTTTTGGGGTCATCTATGACCACGGAGCTGCATACACGAATGGCAGTCACGTTGGACTTGGCCAGCTCTTCCAGGGGCGGGCTGGTTGGCTGGGAACTGGGAGGCTTGGGAAAGCAAGTCCAAGACTTCTTGCTGTTGGTTCCTTCTTCTGCTGAAGTTTTCAGCCAATTACTCTCAGGAGCTTGGTGATTTGGCAAATTCAAGTCATTCCTCTCTGGATCATAGGGCTGTAGCAGCTCTGGATGCCTCTGAAAGTTCAGCACGTGAGTGGGTTTCGTGGACCCATCTCTGCGTTCTAGAACTCCATTTTTGCCCTCATGGACAGAGGAGGGTTTCAGGTTTCTTACTGGGCTGGTCTGGCCATACGGGTTTTCGGGGATTTGTTCTTCTTCTGCCCTGCTCTCCTTCAGCACAGACCCGCGACTAGCACGGATGGGCAGGTTATTTACAACCGGAGGTGGAAATAAAGGCCCGTTTTCAGGAAAGGGTGTCCCTGCCAGACACCGCTCGGTGTTATTGAGGACTATGTAGGGGTGGCCATCAATGCCCTGGACCCTAATACTGACGCCGTAGGAGCCTGCCTTCGAGGGCTGGGAATTTCGTGACTTTTTTGTTTCATCGCTGGCGAGTCTCAGATGGACACCATATTCCTGTTGCACGTGTTGATATTCACCAAAATACAGCTCCATGGTTCACTGTTCACACTGCCAGGGAAAGACAGGGTAAAGGGATGGGGGAGGGACAATACATTAGAATAGACATCTTCTAAAGACCAGAATAGTTAAGGGGGAAAAAACTTTCAAGTTCTAAGACAACCAGACACTTCTAAGAACAAAGAGCACCATGACCTTGACATGCACAAACAGGCCTTCAGGACACCCTGAGGCCACATGACCAACCAGTGTTTATCAACACTGGGCTGAGGGCAGACTAAGTAGTGCAATGAGCTGATGCCTTTGGCATAACTTTGTTGCTCCTTTTCTAGCTTACAAGCTGTTCCAGTTACTTTCTCTTCTCCTTCCTCTCACTACTCCAACTGCACCCCCGTACCCCCACCTCCCTCCCGCCCAAGTTGGCTTCCTTACCCTGATGCTATTTATTTTTAACCAATAGAATGTGCCAGTTGCCAGTATTTAAAACCAGAGTATTTTTCCATGAAATTAATTGAGCTATGGAGTTCTGATGGGCACCCTTCTCCTTGTTTTCTATACTATTCATTTTCCTCTCTAAACTCCTGCAGCCTTAATGTGCAATCCTGCTTTGATGCCTTCAATAGCTTTCATTTAAGACATAACTTTGAAAACATTTTTACTCTACAGAATCCGCTTTCTATGAGACTGGCAGTGAAAGTCAATGATGAGGGCCTGGTGTGGTAGCCTAAAGTCCTCACCTTGCAAGTACTGAAATCCCCTATGGGCACAGGTTCTAATCCCAGTGGCCCTGCTCTCCATCCAGCTCCCTGCTTGTGGCCTGGGAAAGCAGTCGAGAGCAGCTCAAACTTTGGGACCCTGCACTCCTATAAAAGACCCAGAAGAAGCTCATAGTTCCTGGCTTTGGATCAGCTCAACTCCGGTCACTGCAACCACCTTGGGGAGTGAAATCAGTGGGTGGAGGATCTGCCTCTCTGTCTCTCCTCTTCTCTGTATATCTGACTTTCCAACAAAAATAAGTCTTTTTAAAAAAGAAAGTCAATGATTAGACCATGTTTCCAAAGTTTTTTGATTTTTTTTTTAATCAACAAAATTCAAGTAGCATTCAGCGGTTGGAAAATGCTATGAAAACAAAGACTCAGAGCTTCTCATGTTGGAATGGGTCCTGATACTAAGAACTGTTGCCTGTGTCACCTTCCTGGTGTGAGCCACACTTGCCAGATGCCTGCACACATTTCATCCCCCGAGACATGGGACATCCGCCATGGTCTGTGACACGTGGTACTCCAACCACAAATTCACTTCCATTACCCTGGAAAACTGCATTAGCCACAGATATCCAGGAAGCTCAGCACAGTTTACAAGCCATCCCTTTTTTCACTTTCAAGGGCCTTCTTTGAGCTGAGCTTACCCTAGAGTCGAACTCATAACCTATTTCCAGGAAAATCATGTATTCAATTCAATTTTCAAATAAATTTTCACTTGTATGCACAGATTCTGGCAAAGCCTAAATCATTTTCTTTATTTCTCATTATCTACTTACGCTATGTGCTCTCTTCTATTTGTTAATTATGTTTCACCATAGTTACAGCTATATTTTTGATTTTTCACTAGAGAACTAGACCTTAAAATCTATCAAGTATCACTTCTAAGGCACTTTTTAAAAAACTATTTTAAAAATGTATTTACTTGTTTACTTATTTGAAAGTCAGAGACAGAGATCTTCCATGTGCTAGTTCACTAAAAATAAATAGCCACAAGGGCCAGCACTGGACCAGACCAAAGCCAGGAACATCATTTATGCCTCCTGAGTGGGTGGCAGGGGCCCAAACACCTGGGTCATCTTCTGTCGCTTTTCCCAGGCAATTAGCAAGGAGTAGGATTGGAAGTAAAACAGCAGGGACACAAACTGGTACCCATATGGGATGCCGGCACTGCAGGCAGCAACTACCTGCTAAGTTAAGATGCCAGCCCCACTTTTTATTTTTTAATTTACTGAGTTCTAGTTAGGTTGTTTTTTGTTTGTTTGTTTAAGATCTATTCATTTTACTTGAAAGGCAAAGTTAGAGATAAAAGAAGGAGAAACAGACCTTCTAGTTGCTAGCCCCTAAATGACTGGGGCTGGGTTGGACGGAAACCAGGACTTTCATCTGCATCTCCCGTGTGGGTGGCAGGGCCCACACTGACCATCCTCTGCTGCTTTTCCAGGCACACTAGCAGGGAGCTGGACTGGAAGTGTAACAGCCAGGTCCATATGGGATGCTGGCATGGCAGGCAATGGCTTAACTTGCTATGACACCCACTTTCATTTTTGTTACAGTAATACTCCCAAATCCACAGGGGATACAAAAGATCCCAGGTATCCCTGAAGCCAGAGTACTAAGCACACACTTATATGTCTGCCCTTTAAAGTTTAATTTGCAAGTTAAGCACAATAAGAGATTGACAACAACAAAAGGGATTATAACAAAAGAGTGCAATGAAAAGTAAATATGCCCTCTCAAACTACTTCATTGTAGCACCTCACACTTAAAGAAAGTACATTACGGGGCAGACACTCGGCTTAGCAGTTATAATGCTGTTTGGAGGGCTGGCATCCCACAAGGGAGTGCTGGTTCCTGTCCTTGTTACTCAGCTCCCAGCTCAGCTTCCTGTTATTGAGCATTCTGGAAAGCAGCAAAAATACTTGGGTCCCTGCCACACCAGAGACCTGTCCTGTCTCTCCAGACAGCAAACCTCCAGCTGCTGCTAAGGCAAGACAGCAGAAGAGAGAGGCTTTGCCATTTGCAGAGGTCTAACGATTCCAATTTCTCATTCCCTAGATGCTGGCCCTTAACTGCCATGCATCATCACCAATGCCTTTTCCCTCTGAGCCTCTGGGCTGTGACCCGGGTGAGCCACCTTGTGTGCATACCGCTAACACACAAAGTGCAAACGTCCCTTCCTGAACCACGTCAGCAGTCACACTGCCATCTGCTTCCGAGCTTTCCTCCACTGAAATCACCATCACCAACCCTTGTCACTTAAAGTTCCAAACAATGGTTTCTTCCTTTACTAGCACTTTGTAATAAGGTGTTGAAAAAGGAGAAACTTGGAAGGTTATCTAACGTAACAAGGCTAATAATATACAACGCCTCAGTGCCAAAGACAAATACAGCCAGTATGCCTTGGGCTGACAAAGACATGTACCATGGCCAAGACCAAAGCCGTTGGCTATGTCAGCTGCACCTCGATACTGGGGGCAACACTGGCAAGCTTTACTATGGATCTCTGCAAGTGTCTCCACAGGCTTGAATGCTTCTAACATTTCTTCTTTTTTTTTAAATCAGATTATTTTTTAAAGTGGTCATATGCACAGAATAGGGGAGAACCCCAGAGCGGAACAGAGGGACTGGAGGAGGCTTATCCCCCACCCATAAGGACTCCCGGACTCCCACCAAGGTCTATCAGAACGGACACAAGAACGTCAACGCAACTGCCAAAGAGAACACGGGGATCTGGAATGCCTCCAAATGCTGTGAACCCAGAGGACAGACACCCCCTCTCTTTGGACCAACTACACGAGATGGAAGAAGCCCGAGTCCTTCCACATAGGAACCAACGACATCAGAACAACAACTAGGAACCACGATTGGTCATCAGAACCAGAAGATCAATAAACTTCTGGCAGGACAGTGGGGGAGGAATCCTCTCCAGTCCTTACCTAGTTTCAGCTCTGGGCCTCCACCCCCTATAATGACCAACAAGGTTCCTAACCCCCCTGCCTCCCTTCATACACATACACATACACATACACACATACACACACACACACACACACACACACACACACACACACACACACACACACACACACACATATACACACACTAATAGGATGAGATAACCAAAGAACAATAAAGATAGGTCATCAAGGACTCACTCATATACTATTAGATGGAACATAAAGAACAAGTACTCATTAGCAAGGTATGAGAGATTTCTCTGCAACACCCCCCAAAATCGTTACACACCTCAATTGAGGAGGTGACATTGAAATAGTTGTAGAGGGCAATCAAGAACTTACATGTAATTTTAACATATTGTCTACTCAATACTATGTCAGACATCTAATGTTTGCCTGGATTTAACCTGTAATTTATGCTTGGTTGATTGTTACTTTTTGAACCTGTCACTGATACTGTCTAAACCCAGAGGTGTGGAAGAATTGAACTTTTTTTTTTTTTAATTTAACATAGTGTTCACTCAACACTATACCAATTAATCCCATAACATTGTATATCGACGCTGATGTTTTGTTGGGGGTTTTAACTGACCAGAAGTTTACTCTGTTAGCTCTACCTTCAGACCAGAGAAGGTCTCCCCAAGAGGCCACTGAACTTATCTGGACAATAAGACATTGGACTTTATGCTAGGTACATGCTTGCGATGAAGGAATTTCAACTGAACTTGAAATGCGGTTGTGCAGCAAGATGGAGCAATCCACTATGGGAGGAGGGGTGTGGGAGGGGTGGGGGGGGACTCCCCAGTGCTTATGAAACTGTATCACATAATACAATGTTAATAAAAAAAAAAGAAAAAAAAAGATTTACTTTCTTTTTATTGGAAAGTCAGATATACAGAGAGAAGATACATAGAGAAAGATCTTCCATCCAATGATTCACTCCCCAAGTGATGGCAATGGCCAGAGCTGAGCCAATCTGAAGCCACGAGCCAGGAGCTTTTTCCAGGTCTCCCACACAGTGCAGGATCCCAAGGCTTTGGGCTGTCCTCTACTGTCCTCAAGTAGGGAGCTGGATGGGAAACCGCGCAACAGGAATTAGAACCAGCGGCCATATGGGATCCCGGCATGTACAAGGCGAGGATTTTAGCCAGTAGGCTATCACACTGGGCCTGCTTCTAACGTTTCTAAGAGAAGAGCTTCTGCACAAATGTATTCATTGAGATGACTTTTATATGTGGCATTTACTAAATGGGGTTATTTTGCTAATAAACCCTTCTTAATGCCGACACTTTGATAAAAATGTTTTCTAATCAAG